AGGTGTAGGAATCATGTCAATTAAACAGTTTGTATCACATTTACAGACTGGAGAGAGAATGGACTTATCTCAGAGGTCTAGTGCTCCCTTTTCAAATTAATTTTTATGCACACTCAATTTCATTTATATCAGAATTATTTTCAATACTGTAAAATATTACATTTCTTAGTCACAACATTTGTTTTCTGTTGCAATGAAACATATTCAAATTCTGGAACAGATTTTCTTTTTGAAATTACAGTTCTATGAACACTGTCAGAGTTACAACTCTTCATTTTTTTTTTTTTACCAGGCAGGCAAAATTGGACATTTAAATGATTTCCAGAAAATTAAAAGTCTTACTGCAAGTAAACAGTTATGTAGAAAAAAAAGCTTTTGCATTCTTGACTGCATCCTTGTAAAATGATATTAAATATGATGGGATTTTTTTTTCCTGAGGATTACAGGAGCCATTTTCCTTGTTATGCAACTTTGAATTTTAATTTTTATGCAAGTACGTAAGTTGTTCACCTTTGGGTTTTTTACTGAGGTCTGATCTGCAATATATCTAAAGAGTTGCAGAAAAGCTATCAAATTTTTAATGAAATATTCCCAAAATAAGGCAAAAATTTAACAAGGTCTGCAATATAATGTGAAACAGATTCACTTCTCATCTTGTATATATCTGATGTTTATTGTAAAAATTAAAATAACGTAATTCTGAGATTTCTATATTTTCATTTTAATGTCAACTTAAATAAAATTCAACAGCAAAAAGTTCATTGAAAAACTTAATATTATTACTTTTGACAAACATGAAACTATCTTCCCATTAAGTATTTTTGTTTGGAGAAGAAAAAAAAAAAATCAACCCTCAGGGACTAGCAAAATTGTGAAATTTTCCTTTGAATAAAACAGTTGATAAATTCTATTTTGGGAAAACTCACTTCTTTTGTTGTTAAAAGTTTCAAAGGAATAATACATATTAATGTCACCAAATTAATATTTTCTAGTGGAAGTACTGTCTCAGCTAATGTTTAACTGACAAATATAAGCTTTTTACCTTTAAAGCACACAGCAGTGATATTAATTCTTTTGCTAGCAAAAACTATTAAAAAGGGAGCTTTACAGCTGGGTTCAGGATATACTCTGTATAATTTATCAGGTCTCTTCTATTTCTGATTTCAGTAATCCACTGAAATATTTATGGCCTTGCCAGAACAATGAACACACAGAGTTATCTCTTTAGTTGTCATTATGCTGCTCCTCCCCAGGCAGCTCTTCCAGTGAGGAAGGAAAGGTAGAGATCCAGTTCAGCAGCTGAAAGAATGTCAGAGGTATTCCCTCAATGCACACTCCTCCCACAAACTGGACCTTGAAGGAAATAACTTTGCCTAATACTAAAAATACAAGAAGACACAGCAGCTTTAATATCAGGAGCCAAAGTAACAGAAGTTAAGCAGGACATGCCTGTCCATGCCACAGTTACAGCTGGATTTTGATGTAAAGGCAAAAGGTGAAAAGGGGAGGGGGAACAGCTGATGTTCTGGCTGATGAACTACAGCCAATGCACAAAGTTACAGCACTGCTGTGTTCATAAAACACAAGATTAAAGAACAAAATAGCAAAAATGTATAAATAAATAATGTATAATAAATGTATACATAAATAGCATTTATTCTGTTGTAATAAACAAACACACCAGGCCTGCAACAAACAAAAGAAATATGAATACTTAATATTGGCCCTTTTCAAAATAGCAAAACTGTTATTTGTGAAGCCTTGCTATAGCTTAGTTATTTGTGAAGCCTTGTAACTCTATAGCTTAGTTCCACCCACAATGTCAAAAGAACAGGAAGGGATAACTGACACTTTCCTGACTATGGAATGGTTTTGACATTTGAACACAATATAGCTGAAAAATCCCTAAACTGAAGAAATGGATAGATGCAATATTTCAGCTTTTAATGTCAAAGATGTAAGGCATTGCCCAAAAATCAAAAGCAATTTAACCATCAAGAGAACAGGCACTAATGGATGCTGAGCAGCAGCAGTTCCTAGTCTCTTATCTAGTCAGCATTCAAGGAAAATGAATATAAGATCCAGGCAACTAAACTTCTGTCTGTAGGACCTTCAAAATCAAATGCTTAGTGACTGGCAAGATCAATATGAGTAAATTAAGTAGGAGTTTTGGAATCTGTATTAATTTGGATATCATTTGAGTGAACTTCAGCATGACTGCCTTGTGTCAGATCCCAGGCTGAGAGCAAATTACAGGAATATGATGCTCCAAAATAGCTCCAAATTCAGTGCTTGAGTTCCCACCAAGAGAAGAACCTGGCTTCAGAGCACTTCCTGGATGTGGATGGCTGGAATTGTGTCAATTACAGCAAGATTGTATTTTTGGACAGAAGTATCAGAGGCAGAGGGAGGAAATGGGCAGCCAAAATAACTGAAAGCTGTGTTATACGAGTGCCCATTTTGAAATGCTGATTGCCTGCTCTTTGATGAGGAGATAAGTATGTTCCAGGGTTAATCAGATTTTGGTCATTACCAGTACCCAGTGTATTCCTTTTCTAAATTTGTAATAGAAAAGAAGAAAATGCTATCACTATTCTTTTTAGCATGATCTGCACCATATGGTCTTCTAAGTGCAGGCAGCAACTACTTTTAAATGCTGCAGTTCTTTACTGAGGCATTATTATCCTGTGTATGATGGAAGGAATTTCAAGCGTTCAGGAGATGCTCACATTCTGTAATGCAGAACGGCCTCTCAAGGCTTGGTTTCTAAAAAGAGCTTAGTCTTTAAAGAAGATGAAGAATGGCTCTTTCAAGGGATGAGCTTGATTATTCTGTTTATTACTTCATTATTTGCATTTTGGGATCTGGAGGATCCTGAAGCAGTAAGCCCTGGAAAATGAGCTGTTGTTCTTTTTCCAGAGTCTTCGCTTGAAGAATCACCAAAGTGCCTCCCCAGAGCTGTCACTCAGCCTGCAGAGCTGAAAGCTGATCTGCAGCAGTATCACAAGGCAACATGTTCTTGAAGATTTTCAGGAATACACTGAACTTCTTCAAGCCTCTTCCCTCAGGCAAAATGTCAGGCTATTACAGAGGAAGGGGATAGTTTGTGAGGATAACTTATAAATATGTCATTCTGACCTGGTTGTCAAGGAAGATTTTTTTACAAAGGAAGCAGTTTTCTGTTGGAAAAACACTCTACAACCTTTTCTTGGCATCCAGACTTTGCTTCACATGTACTGTAAATGAATCAAAGAGGAATTTTGGCTGGGGCTCCTTCACTTCATATTTACAAGAATGAAGCAAATAATGAAAGAGAAGTTCTAAATAGAAGGTAAAATGTATCACAAAGGTTTCCCAGCCAGACATTCTGATCCACTGAGCAACGTCAAAAATATTAACTCCAGTTCTCTCTCTAAGAATTCAATAACAAATTATTATGCTGTGGACACCTTCCTGGGATTAGGAAACCCTTCTCTCTGCACTGTAGTCTCTATTACACTTTTCTCTTTGATGGATGATATTTATGAAATGCCACATACACAAGAGCCCCCTTTCTATGACAGTCCATCTGCAAGAAAACTTCAGATCACATGGAAAACATTTACTGAGAAGCTGGCAGAGAACACTGCAGACAGAATGCTATTACATAGTTCCTTTGCCTTAACTACTTTTTTTTGGAGGGGGAGGGAGAAAAAAGCCAGTGAGGTTTAAAGCTTTAATCTCATACCCAAGCTTGTCAGAGCCCAAATCTATCTGTAAAGCTCTCCAAATCAGAATGAACTCGGAAAGATGACGTTCAATCTTTAAATCCTTCTCTGCAGACCTATTTTTAATTCTCAGGTTCATAAAATGGATCCCTGCTGTGCCTCCAGAGCTTTCTAACATGTATTCTACCTATTATGTTTGACATAACCACATGCTAGAACTCAGCTGCATTCAGAACCAAAAGTTTTCTTTGCACAATTTCCTGTGTAGTGTGACAAGACCAATTCAGTGTGACAGATCTATGATTATCATCGGTGGAAAACCAATTATCTCCTCTCCTGGTCACTGTTATTCTTTTCACACCACCAGTAAGTCTAATATTCTGGACACTTTGGAACAAATTTTATCTTCTTATTTTGCTTTCTTTGACACAGAATGGGTAACAAATTAATGCTTTGTAAATAACATCAAAAAACTATTTTTCATATCTTATTTTCTCAACAACCATTTTTTCAATCTCTTTCTAAACTAATTCCTGAACAGTCAAAACTATTCATATATTTGATACAATAATTATGGGTAACCATAATTAACCATCTTTCCAAAATGTCCTGTGATGTACCATTTCTATTCCATTTCTGTAAATCAAAAATGGATTAGAACTGACATCCTGCTCAACTATAGGCAAATGCCATCAAAATACACAATCATTTCAATGATCTGAACCAGGAATTACATGATATTTCAAACCTGTTTCTTAGGTTTTCAACTGATGCAGTTTATTACAGTCACTCTCATGAATTACCATCATTTTCACCAATGGGAACAGATTTCTGTTCATGACCTGAGGAAATACATGGATATCTCCAAATGGAACTGCTGCCTACATTCACTCCCTACAGCAACATCATCTTCATTAAAACACTTTGATACATGTTCATGTAAATCCAGCAGAATAACATTTTGTAAATATTCCAGTATGAAAAAGAGAGAATTAAAGTAATGAAATTCTGCTAGTTTTACATGATTCTGGTAATTTTCATATTCCTCACTTTGGCATTAATTTTGTGCTTCAAGTTTTCCTGTGAAGAAATGTACTCTGGAATAACTTTATATTCTAATTATAGTTTGATGAAGATGCAGCCTGAGCTGACACTGAACCGGCTCTGTCCTTCCATGCTAGGAATGATTTATTCAGCCACTTCACATCCAATTTTAAATGAAATTATCCATCTTCTTGGCTGATGAACTGATACCAGATTTCAAAGCACACAGAGATGGACACACTCACTCACAATCTACTTCCAAAATGGCACGGACAGACTTGGCAAGGTCCCTGGCTTCTGCTGCAAGAGCTGCTGTGACAGTAGGTCCGACCCTTCCCAGCCGAGCCAGAAGTGCTTTAGTGGACAATGTTCTCCTGTCACTAAGATAATAAAAAAATAAAGTGTTTATTTGTAATATGATAAAGGAAACTGCTCCTTTCCATAAGGTAAACTTTTCTAAAGTGGTTTTGGTCTCACTGTATGAAAAGATTCACGCTCCCAAATCAGTGAGTTTGCCCCAGCAGCAGTCCTGGCTGAACAATGAAGGTATTTGAAAAGTTCAATTCAAATAACATTCAGAACTCAAAATGCAGTGTCAAGGACTCAGAGGGTGTCAGGAAAGGAACTTGAATGGAATTTTCATACCAGCATTTAAGAAGGGACACTGCTTCATGGGACCCAATTCTTATCTTCTCTGCTGTTAGCGAGTCAGTTTGTCACCTTGGCTTAGTATTTGATAATTAATCCATTCACTAAAATAAATTGTATGAACTTCACAAAACAGACAACACTGTTGTTGTGTGCAGGGCCAATGGGAACTGCATCTCACTGATTATCTATGATAGCCTAGTTGGTGTGAGCCTGCCTAGGTTTTTTGAATAAAGTTCCAGTTCACTTCACTAAAATACATTTGATTTTCTTGAGAGCTGTATTGAAAAAACTGCAGGAAAGAGACTGAACAATTTTATTGTTACATAAATATTAATGAAATGCTATCTGTGATATATAGGCACAATCATGCCAATTTTCTGAAGGACCAAAGGCTGCTTAAATCTTCTTGAATATTCTCAGCAGCTTTTCACACAAGAAAAGTAACAAAATGTAAATGGATATACATTTTATCAATTTATTTTTACACTACTGTATTCATTGTGATGCAAAATCACCTAGGAAAATCTAAAAAAAATATTAAAAAATTATAACCCATTGTTAAGGTTCCTTGCATTTTAACTAATCATTAGTACATTATAATTACTTTATGGAAACATCCAGACAATCATAGCTATGTAATTACTAACTGTTTTAATTTAATTCAGAGGTTTTTAATGAAGCTGTACTCTGAAAGCTTAATTTATAATTCATGCCATTCCCTCTCCTTCAATAAAATAACACTCAGAACTATACAGCAAAAGTATAGAGAAAACCAGCTACAAGGCAGTTCTTTGATACTTGGAAACAATAGTAGAGTTTTCCACTATTAATATTGCCATTTCATTACCTTAAAATCGTTGAGGAAGTAGAGTTATCTGAAAGTATTTCGTGCACAACCTGTTGGTCATAGTCAAGAAGTTAACAGTTTATAAATCAACACAGTCAAAAACTTAATACCTTATAGTTTGATGTTCTATTTGGGGGTGGGGGACTTGGTTTGCAGTTAAAGAGTCTAGTGTCTCCCAGCTAGAAGTGCACAAGTAAAAAATCAAAATATTATAACCCCTTTAAACAAAGTAAATATAACAACTCACTTTTTTGTTGTTATTGTTTCATAACATGCCAAAGAATTATCAACTATTAGCTTTTGTGCCTTTTTCTTCTGAGGAGTTTCACAGAAATTGATAGAGTTTAGGTGGAAAAACTTATCTGATCATTTTCATTTGTCCAGTATAGCAAAACACAAAGATTATGTAAACCTCTGGATGAATTTGCATACATACACATCATCTCTATTTCTAGGAACAAAAGGATCTCTGCAAACTGGTTTACAGCCTTTTTATTATGCTCATTCCTCACAAACATCAACAAAAAAGATATTTCCAAACAAGATATTGTTAAAAATGAAAGGCAAAGTTACCTCTACAAATTGTAGCAATTTTTCAGTGGCCACCTCAAATGTCTTCCTGGCTGACTCCGATTTCCGCAGCTGGCAGTCAAGCACTGTAACCCTCTTTCTCAAGTCATGAATGTTCTCCTGGGAAAAGTATTTTAAGGCTTTTATTCTAATAATTTTTCTCCCTTGGATCACACAGAGACATAGTGTGAACAGTGTGTTTGGAATGTTCAACACGCTCTTTTCTACATTTCTGTAAAACATAAAACTGGAATGCCTGAGCAGCTGGCAAATCAGCTCCAAACTGCAACAGATTTTGGCAAATGATAGAAAGGTAAATTAAAATTCGAAGATAACAACAGGGATAGGGATGAAAATGAAGAGAGTTTGAACTGACTGATGAATGGATGAAAAATACCAACCTGATGGTGACAGTATCTCAGCAGGGTGCATAAACAGCCAGAACAAACTGAGTCCCCTGGTTTGCATCCATACATCCGCTGGCCAACACAGTAATTATGGCACATCTTGGAGGAAATCACCCCCTAGGATGTCTCTGCATGCACTTGTATAACCTATTGATCAGTGTTATGCATCCCTTCCTCCAGTACAGAAGATGTGAGCCCTGTTAGATCCAGCTGTGGAGGCTCTGGGTTTCATTAGAGCTCCCGGCACTGTTCCTGTGACAGGACCATGGCTAAAGTCCTCACATGTACCTGGCATGTCTGTTTAGCACAGCTGTCTGCTGGACACAAGATCTAGAAAGATCTCTCCAAAATACAGAAAAAGTACTGTAGTTATAAATAAACTTTTACATCACACTGCAAGTGATCATTCTGAAAGCCCACAACTGTGGTGTTTGTGAGGGTCTCCAGGACAAGGGAAGAGATGAATTTGACTCCATGTTCTCAGAAGGTTGATTTATTATATTATCATATTATATTAAAAGAAATGCTACACTAAAACTATACTAAAAGACAGAGAAAAGGATAAATCAGAAGGCTGAACAAGAGTGAATAATAAAAACCTGTGACTGACTCCTCAGTCTGACACAGCTGATGGTGATTGGTCATTAAGTTAAAACAATTCACATGGAACCAATCAAACCATCACCTATTACATTCCAAAGCACCAAAACACAAGGAGAAGCAATCAGATTATTATTTACATTCCTCTCTCAGGCTTCTCAGCTTCCCAAGAGAAGAAATCCTGGCAAAGGGATTTTTCAGAAAATATTACAGTAACACACAACCTACTCTAAAACCCTTAAAAATAATCATCAAAATAATCACCAAAACCCACTTGCTAACTTTACTGGAAGCAAATAATATATTTGTATACACTGTACAAAGCAGCAGAACCATCACCTCCCTGAATGTCAAAGAATCTGTTGATTCAAACACCTTTTATTGGTAATTTCACTGTCTACTCTGGAGAAGAAGCTGGGGAAAGAACTCACGCTTTTACACTAAAAAAGTGAGAGGGACCAATCTGATTTTTATTTATGCATCAACATATGTTATATTCTGTTTAGTGAGTGCGTTTTAGGGGAAGATTTACTCAGGCATTAAAGAAAAAAAACCAGGTGTGACCCTGCCTGAAACTTGATACTGCTTCTTTTGGGTAAGAAATGCAGAGATTCAAATCTCCACGCAGATATCATAGTACTCAGCCAGATTTTCAGGAACTCAAGCTGGAATCTCTGGAACAAATGTCCAGGAAAGCAACCCATACTCTATGAATTTCTTAAAATTTGGCTATTTATAGAAAACAGTGATGCAAGAACACTTGACATAAAAGATGGAGCATCTCATCCAGATGTTCAGAAAGAACATCCAGGGTGTGATTCACCTTATCACTCACAATCAGATGACAGGAATTCCTCCTGGGAGCCACAGCTTCCTAAGCTGTTCTCTGCAAGCTTGTTTACCCCAGAGCTTGACTTTACCTTCCAATGTCTTGAAATATTAAATTAATTCTCAGGATGAAACTAGGCAACACTTCAGTAGGTTTTCTTCACCAGGTCATATGCACATCCATTTTTCATGAGAAAAACAAGGTAACCTCACAAATGCCAACCAGCTTGCACTTGTTCAAACTGTGTCTAAAACATAGGTCAGGAGTTATGAAAAAAAAATTTTGAAGTGCATCAAATGTTTTATTTCTTAGCCTGTTCTGAAATGCCTCGCTGGAGATGAAGTAAACTTAAAAGAAAAGGCTCAATTCAATTTTTTTTTTTTTTTTTTTGCAGGATTAGTAGCATTCAAATGATTACCTCGATTAAATTTAAATTTACTTTGGAACAGGACTGGACTTTACATGGTTGTTATTTGCCTAACAGAAACATAAACCTGAAGGCCATTTTCACATGAGTACAAAAGCATACAAATATATGCAAGGTGTAGTCTTTAAAGACAACGTATCTGCAGCCCAGAAACTATTCCATGCTCAAGGTTTGAGACGTGCCATTCTGACCTATAACCCACATATGCTGGGAGCTCCTGTTTTTCTAGCCCAAAGATGTCTGGATAAAGGAAGCCTTGTACACTTCACATTACCCTCTTCAATCCACATCATCCCAGTTATTGAATAATAAAAGACAAACAGTGACCTACTTTAGAAAAGCAGATGAAAAGAAAATGAAAACCAGATACATGACAACAGCAAGGAAACCATGGTAACTCTACAGGCTTTGCTTACTTTATTTTGGCCAGAATGCTCAGTGAGCTGAGCCTTCAGCTCTCCAATTTCAGCCTCTAAGAGGCGAATCACCTCTTCGTAGTCCATCTCCATTCCCCGGGCCTGCCTCTGAGCAGCCTCTGCAAGGTGAATTCTGCTGCGCAGGGCTCTGCTCTCCTCCACAGCTGCCTTGGCTTCCTGCAGATTGTATAATTCAGTGCAGAAGTTACAACTCCAGCTACCAAGAAAAAAACAGATTTAGCTCACAAGTATTGCAGCTGACATCACTGTTAGTGTTCACGGTTAGAGGGTTCAACTGCTGATTTTTAACATTATGATGTGCAAATGAAAATCAGGTATGTACAGAGACATAATTCTCCTAATAAATTAAACATCAAGTTCTATAATTACTGAAAATCTACTTGAATGAAAGTTTTTCTTGAAATGCACCAGATGCTGTTGATCTGCCCCACTGCTTCCACACCAAAAAAGTACCTTAATGAGATGTTACTTAATTTCATTTTTATTGCATGAATTCACACTCTAGTTACAGCTCACACATCATGTAGATGGACTTTTAATGCAAGTAATTCAGTCTACACTCTTTTCAGAATCAGTGCTTTTTTATAAAATCTATTTTTCTGCCTCATTCCTGGTCCTATTATGCTCCGAATATCCTGGATTATCACAGAAGAGTGATAGATAAAACCTACATATATATATAATGTACAGAAAACCAGAAACTGTTATTTTTAATTCAGCTAATGTAATCACTAAATGTTGCAAAATCTCCTTTAAAGAAAGGTATTACTCAGTTCACTTTAGGACTGAATATTAACTGATTAGTAAATTAGAAAGCCAAATTAAAGGTCTGTACAATGGATCAGTTTACACTCATCTAGGAATAAAACAAACAAACTGCTCCACAAAATGTACAGGCTCACTGGCACTAAAACCACTGAACCATCTTTTCCCTCAGCTATTAATTAATCTGTAAGAAAGGTTACTTTATATCAATTTTCTCAATAATTAAAGTTATCAGATTTGAATACACAAATTCACATAGGTAAAATTTTTTTGTAGAAGTTGCTCAGTTGAGGATACTTAGGTGAATATTCTGTTCCTGGTCTACCTATTGCATCTTATAATTATAATTACATCCTGGTTGGGAATGGAACTAGAGGGAAAACAGGTGGGTGTTTCTCCTCCCATAGAGGAGAAACACACGATGACTCTTTAGCATGGAGGAAATAACCTTCTATAAGCTAGGTTTGAAATTGCTGTTTCTAAAAAACCTAAGATGATCAGATCTTCCTGTTTTGTGGAAAAAACTGCATATAAAAGGTGTCATAATAGAAATGTCCAGAGAGGTCAGTTAAACTTAAAAATACTGATTTAATTCTTTCCTAATGTAGAAGCATTTGTCTGTACAATCAATACCCTTCAAGTCAGGTTTTCCTGTATTTTGTGATAATGGTCTTTCTGTAAAATGCTTTATCAATCCCAGCTTCATTAGAGCTTCATTCTCTACACTGTTAGTCTTAATAGACAACATATTCTGGGCCATAAATCAGCTAATCTCAGTGACATATAACCAGTACATCATCTTCCTCATCTTTGCAATAGAATACCAATTTGGATGATGGCCAGGGACATCCTGGTCTCTCAGAAAATAGAGCAGTGGAAGTAACCACACATGCAGAACAGTAACCCCATTAGTGAACACAGGTGACATTGGTGTTGCATAATTTAGAGGTTTCTGTTACAGGGCATAAGCACTAAGAGATCCATTTAAGTGACCTTCAATTTGACAGCAAGTAGAATGATTCTCTTTTTTCCTTTGGAAGCATTAGGTGAACTACACAAGGACCAGCTGCACCTGGAAACACAGACTCATCCCAAGCTTACTGCTCCGTGCGTGTTTTCCTCACACTGGTGTCACCGTTGTGTTTACAGCACTAAGAGCAGTGTGAGGGTCATTACAGCTCACACTCCCTGAAAGCACAGCAATCACCCCTCCTGCAAGCTGCTCCTGGCACTCCTTTTTCCTAGAAACAATTCAGGGAACACAAGGACTTCTAAGAAGTTAACCTACAGAAGCAGAGGTCAAATTACTGCCTTTGGGGAGGCACTTTCTTGCCATTATAAGAAAAAAATGAGTCAACAGCAAGAAGAGCTGGGTCCTGCTGCTACAGAGGATGAGTTGGGAGCCTTGAGAAGCAAAGGCATCCTTGGGAAACAGGCTGGAGGTGGGAAAAAAGACTCTTGGAGACAAAAGTGAAAAGATTCTCTGACGTTAAGTTTGACTAATATAAATGAACACAGAGGCCTTGAGAAAGGGTGGCATCTTAAAAACCCACACTTAGGAATTATTTAAATAAACTGACATGAGAAAAGTGAAGAGAAAATTGCTATTATGAAAAGGGAGGTCTTCATTTTGAAAGAAGACATCCTTGAGATAAAGGTTTAATCTCTTATAATCCAGAATTGCCTTTACTCCTCCATTGTTTTTTCAGAACCCCAGTTGTTGAATATTAATTTCTCCGTAATAGCAGACTAAGTATGACCAGATTTCAACAGTGAAAGACCTAAAGGAATAATTAAGGAACAATGGCTTCTTACATTACAATGAAACAATTACACACACTACAACTGAATTAGCAAAATTGTCTGACACACCAGAGCTGTTTGCTAGAGCAGAGGGGCACAAAGGGAAATGATTCCATCAGGTTTTCCCATTCTCCAGTTACTGGAATTGGTCCTGGGGGGCACAGTGGGGTCTCTCACCTGGCAGGTAAGGGGGCCCCACCAGTGAAGAACTGATGGGTCATACCCACTTCAGCAACATGAGCTCTTGTCCCACTCAAATGTATGACAAAAGTGTCCAAGGCCAGGCTGGACAGGGCTTGGAGCAACCTGGGATAGTGGAGGGCGTCCCCTTCCATGGCAGGGGGTGAAATGAGATGAGCTTTAAGCTCCTTTCCAACCCAAACCAATCAAGGATTCTAAGACATAACAGATAGGGGATCTGCAGCTGCTAATATTTAATTTATATAACACCTCATGGGACCCATTGTCCTGATCTGGTATGAAGCCACTACAACCAAAACGGAGCTAACAGCTGGAGGAGAGAAGCTGAATCCTTAAAAAAGCAATTTCAAGGTACAGATTTCTTCCTAAGCCACGTTCTACTTCTTCCTTGGATACATTTGAGTGTAAGAAGGTTTTACCCAAGTTTTATTCCAGCCACCACAAACACCAGAACTAAGATATTCTTTTAAACCACATGAAATTGTAGTTACAAATCAATCGTACTTGTTGGTTAATTCTACAAAAATTGTATATTGAAATCATCATTTAAAAGAACTTTGAATATCTTTACTATGTATTAAAATAAAAAAACCTAATTAAATAAACCAAACACTTCTTTCAGGCAGGGTGAAATAGATTAGATACTGCTTCCAAAAAATAGCAGTCATTCAAAGCCCCTCCTTTCCCCTCAGAGGAAACAACCACAGAGTAGCAAATATCTCAGCCCTATGAATCAAGTCCAGGAGTTTAGGATACCACAAACAGTGGTATCTCCCATTTTCTATGTTTAGCTGAGTGCTCCAGCTGACAGAAACTGCCCAGGAAAAGCTGTAGTACAGAAGGGATCATTCAGGCTGAAATACCCCAGGACACTCAGGCAGCACAGGATCCAGTCCAGCTCCTCCAGGAAGAGAGAAGACATCATTACAGATTTCACATTCATGCTCTTGGCAAGACTTCAGGTACTCAAAAGTGCCTTTCTGTGTTTTGTGCCAATTTCAGCTTACATATGATTTCAAGGAAGCCCCAAAGATATAGTGCTATATCACAACTTCAAAGCAAAAAAACCAGATCAATTAATGAATTTGAATTGTCTCATACCAATATTAGAAAATAATTACTATCTCACTGCAAGTTTAGCAGCATTTCTAATCTTAAGAGTTTATTCATGCTGTTTGTTACTGAGTCAAGCACTGTTTGATGAATTGGTACTAACAAAGCACGTTCATTAACCAGAATGTCTGTACCCCTGTCTTAATTAATCTGTAATCGCTGCAATTCACAATTAGCAGAAAACAGAAATACCACAAAATATACCTCAATATATGACTGATAACCTAAATCCTCACTTAAAACCTTGTTTTTTCAGGAAAGGAGTAATTTTTAAAAATTGTTTAAATTACGCTGAAGTCAGACCTTAAGCACAGCCTTAAACTGGGTTTTTTGTTTACTTTGGTTGTTCCTTTCTTTTAATCAGGCCATTAGGGTTCAATAATGTACTCATTAACTCCTCTCACTAACCAGCTGAGGCAGGGATGCACATCATAAGTTAAATGGCAACGTGTACTATAAGTAGCCTGTTTTTAAAAAACTTATCACCACGAATCTCAGTTTAAACAACAGAAATATATATATAATAATAATATATATAAAACACTTGCACATGCACCAAGTATAAACAGAACAAAATGTCCATTAAAAGCCCACTTTTATATCTTAAAATAGATCATACAATGCTATAATTATATATAATTTAGTATTTCTCTTTCACTTCACTACATGGAACCCTTTTGATGCCTACAAGAAAATCAGTATTTATCCCTGGGAGTTTTGCAGGGCAAAACTGAATTTCACCACCACATGAGAGTACCTGAGAAAAATAAAAGTGGGAGGACCTCGAGTGGTGGCAAATGGGCACTGCTGCCACCTAAAACATCTTAAACCAGCCCTGTCCAAGGCTGCCTTCCCAGGAAAAGCAGGTTTGTACTGGGGATTGTACTCTGTACCAGCTTTAGGCTGGACTAATACACTGAACAAGTGTTCTGGTCTAGAACAACACAGTCAACCCATCAGAGAATGGGAACCTCAAGTGCATTACTGGAACAATCTTCCAGTTAAATTTTATCCAGAAGGTAACTCAATTTATTTCCCACAGTGTACAGAAGGAAACAACACAATACTAATGGAAAAAGCTTTCAAGCAAGCTCTTCTATATTCAGGGAATAAAAGGTGATCATGAAGGTGTTCAAAGACTCTTTGGAGCAAAATATAAAACTAATCTTAATACAGGGCAATTTTAAACTTTATCTTGCATTTTTACACGACATCTGACATGAGAAACCTGCAAAGAATAGGTGCAGCAGTGCAGGAGGGAAGGAAAGCAGCCAGCTCATTAGAAGGAAAAGCTGACAGGGTGTTCAGGAGGAAAAGGGAACAGGAGAGTTCCCTGGCTTTGAATCCAGGCTATAAGTGACAGGAGACTAACATTTAATTGGGAATTTCCTTTAAGAGACACAAGGAAGCCAAATACTCTGATTTATTGGCTCATAATTATAGACAGATTTGGAAGCAAAAACAAGACTTTCCTCAGAAAACCCTGACTTCAACTTTTTTTCCTGGCAATTTTTTCACATTTAAGACTGGTTGACATATGAAGTAGTTAATGTTAGGACTGTAAATTAAGCAACTGTTGCCTAAGAACAGCAAAATCTCCTCAAGAACACTTAATACTAGAAAGGTTCTACTACATCATTACCCCACTTCATTGATCCAGCTGGTCTCAGGATTCCTATCTCAATTCAATAGCAGAGAAATAGATTACTGCTCTAAAAACTGAAGAATCGATTCTCCACTTTTAATCAAAAGCTCTGTAGTAACACAAGAACCACCTTTGTGCTGAAATCAGTGTGAAAGTATAGTCCATATGAGCACTAAGAGAAAAAGAAGTGCTTCTTTCTCCCTTCCACAAAAAAAAGTTAAAAATTTTTTAGTTATTATAATCTTTAAAGACTTCAACATACTTGCTTGACTACTTGTAGCTGCTCTGCTAACTGCTTCTGTAAGTTCACAGATTCAGACAATTCTTCCTATTAAAAAAAAAAAAAGAATAATAAATAAGTTTGAAAGAGAAAGAGTTTTGGTCCTAAAGCAATTAGCTCTTTCAAAACTACAGATAACAATACTTGCCTTCTATCAACAGCTTTTATAAAACCTGTGATAAAACCATCTCTAAAAGCTAACTTTTCTGTGAGTTCATTGATGCTGGTGAAGTTTCCTGAGTATTTTAGAATTATTTACTGAACATTTCTGGGATGTATGTAAAAGAGTGCAAGAAATCAGGCAATTAATTATAGATTGATCATTGTCAGTTTTCCACATCAGCAATTTAGGGACACCTTGTCAGCATTCACTGTATTTAATGTAAATGGGATTCTTTCATTTCAGTACAAAGCTCTCAGAAGAATCACTGTGCACAGAACAGAGAACTGACCTCTGGCCATTTCAACCCAATGCTTCTGTAATTTACAGCAAAAAATTTTTTGGACCAAGGGGCAATTTTTAAAATTGTCTTTATCCCTGTTCAAGGACCAGAGTTGTGTATGCTGAACACAGAACTTCCTATCATATCGTTTGCTAAACAAGAAATTCAGGACCAGAAGAATTTGGTAGCAACCTGTGGTATTAAGAAATAATATTTATTGCTTTAGGACTCAGGAATTCTGTAATGCCTGGGAAAATATGTATTAATTTTGCACACAGATTAATTTATCCTCCAGTTCTGATTAATTTCAGAAGTATCAGCACATGCTCAGACTCTGCAGTTACTAGGATCACACATTTTTAAATAAAATTGCCATGCAAATCAGTCATTTCTCCAAATTCACTTCTGTGAAATGTTTGCTTAGTCTCATTTCTCTATAGACCAGATTAAAAAATGTGTTAGCATTCAGTATAATGGCTAAAATTCACTGTCTCCACAAATATATTGTAAGCAATCTTCAAACATGATTAGGACTGTTTTCACTGCCATTTTACTTATCTATGAAAAACTGCACATGAAATTCAAAAAACCAGTAATTCCTATACACACTCAAAAAAGCCTCTAGTCTCTTGGGTAATTTAAAGAAAATAAAAAGTGTTACCTTTAATTTGCTTATTTCTTTTAAAGCCTCATTTCTTTCTTTCTTAAGTTTTTCCACATCATCCTCCAAGGAATCACAGGTTACAAACTGTGTGTATACAAATACATAAGGTTGGAATGGATTGCTAACTCTGTCTTCCATAATCTTTAACATCTTATATTAAAAGTTCTTGTTAATAAAACAAGAAAAAAAATCTTAATTTTAGGATGATTTATAGATCTGAAAATGCTAAAAAATGTTTAATAAAATTTTAAACAGCTTATCTTCCAAATGAACAATTACTTTTCCTTTTAAAATGGATTAATAAAGTGTTTTTTGAACTATCAAGAATATATCACTATTTTAATATTTTAAATAATAAGGCATTTTATTTTAGTGTTCATATGCTCTTTTTAAAATCTAAAATGCTCTTTTTTAAAATGCTAAAATGCTCTTTTTAAAAGTCACCTCTAGAATAAAATGATTTTCACTGTAGCAGTAGTTCAAATCACTGGGCCCAGTAATTGTTTCTCACTCACACAGGTTGTAGCAATCCAGATTCTATTAAGAAACCTCAGTAAATCAATGTTGTCCAGACTTACAACAAAGGACAATTTAATTACATTAATTGCTTTCTACAAATTAGGCTGCTTAAAAAACCTTCACAGAAACTAGGTTATCTTAAAGAACCCCATGCTGCACAGCTGTTTTAAACACCTGCCCAGCATTTGGAGTTTTTTTACCTACAAAAAACTCTCCAATAATCTCCTCCCAACTGTTAAAACACTGACCAGGCACATGTTTTTACCTGTGAGTCCTGTAAGCTGGTAACTTCACTGACCCCAAACGTTTCAGATTTGTGGCCATCATCAGTTGAATTTGATTGCACAGACAACAGATTCCTTGAAACTTCAACAAAATCTAGGAAAAAACCAGTTCAGATTTTGTTGCTGTAGTCTGGAAGTTCAGCTTAGTAACAGATCACTGGTGCAACACAACTGCCAATATGACCATGAACAGCCACTCTGATAAATGCAGTTTTCTAAAGGAAAAAAAGAAAATCAGAGAGGTATCTCCGAAGAGAAAGTTCTGGTAAAGCTGGTAAGAATAAAAATGCCCAAACATATCGTGGAATGAAATATCTGCAAATCAAATTGTGAAGGAGAAAAGAAAACTAAGGTGGTGTGAAGCTCACCTTCAAAGTACCCGAGAGGTTCTGCATTTGGCAGGTGTCTGTGAAGAATGAAATAAATCTGCACAACAGGTATACACACCTGCCCTTCCCAATGAATTGACCTTACCAGAGGAGACAGGAAAAAGGAAAAATTTCCTGCTAGCTCAGAGCTCAAGGCTTCCTTTTCAGACCCTTTAAACCTTTGACAGAGGCTTGGTAAAATTGATGTTGACCAAGCTGAAAGTTTTAAATACAAACAGTCTCTAATGCACAATCAACCTGACCTGGATCACCCATACATTTTGGATTTAAAAATTCTGCTACACAATTTTTAAATCCAAAATGATTTTATGACAGAAAGGTGGAAATACAAAGGTCAGTTTACTCCATATAAAATCTGATAGAACACCCAGTATTTTTCTTGCTGATCTTTTTGGATATTTAAGTACAAAATACTATTTTTCACACACTAGTGTTTTTCATAGACTTTAGGAAAAGTGAAATTTCCATCAGTTTTAGCATCAGAACCATCATGTCTCACAGTTTCTGAAAAATATTTTTAAATTGTCCGTGTCATCAATCAAAATTGTTACAACCACAAGAAGCCACTCATTCTCACCAGAATTAGGTTTAGCTGGAAGAATTGTGATGGTCTCCCTGCAAACCTGTTTCTATATGCAATAGTTGAAATGTTCTTGCTTCCCACATACTAAAACTAAGTGATCCATCCGTTTACTTCCTTCAAGAAGCCTCTTTAAACATCAAAACTCTCCCAAGTGATTTCTGGAAAAATTACAGTTCCCCTTTGTCAGAACAAAAAATTCAAGATTTTGTGAGCACAAAATAAAACTTTCCCAAGGTTGCCCTTAATAAAATAAATTTGTGATTTGCATTCCCATTACTTAGTTTCAAGTAGAACTCCAAGATTATTTTTATACAGCAAAATAAGGTTCTTGCCTCAAATTATCATTTTATTTGCAGCAGCAACCCAATACTGACAAGAATTATAGTAATCGTTATTATCTAAAATTTCTGTATTCCTACTTTTCATTATTTTCTATGGTAATTAACAAATTATTACCTCCAAAAGACACTGTTCCTTTAGAATCTTTATAAAGTTGCTGCCTTAGGGCTTGCTGCTGTTCATCTGTGAGCTGAATCCCAAGATAATTCAGTGCCTGGAAGGAAAAAACTTATTTTGGAGTGAAAAAAGAAAGGACTAAGGATAATGACTGCGGGGACATGGGGGAGTAATTAAAGAGCTACACTTCAAAGAGCCTTTGTATCCTGGTACACTCTCACTGACAACACTTTTATTCCAGAGCCACTCAGTGACTTTTCCTTCTAATTGAGAGATGTTCAGATATTATTTAACCTTGAATACAGATGAGTGTAATAAGCAAACCCCTTTGTCCTTAATAACTGCTTTAAAAATCCTGAGGGATGTTCTGATTCCCAGAAGAGTTAATCAGTAATTAGATTAACAAAAACAGTAATTTGCCCAATACATAAACTGAAATATTGGCCTGCAACATGAAAGAACTACCCAAACAGAAAATTCTGTGTGTCATTTATACTTTAAAGTTTGCCAGCCTAGCAATATTGTCCAGATGTTTTACCTGCATCATGAAGGGGGAGGAAGGAGAACTCAGAAGATTTTTAAGTATTTACCCTCTCCAGCTTTTCTGTTTTGAGATGAATACTCAAGTTCTTTCCTTGGAGCTCATAATCATCATTCTGGCTGGGGGCAAGAACTAAAAAATAAAAAAATAAAATAAAAAAAGATGTAGTTGTAACTATTGCTTTGAAAAAAAATTTGTTCCGAAGCTCTGCTCATCGAGTGGATGCCAGCTAAATACCCACTTGCCAAAAATACACGTTAATCCTCAGACTGACTTATTTTTTTAAAGGACATAATTTTAATCAACAAAAATTATGTGTATCAATCACTTCCACTGGCTTTTTCGCATAAAAAAGCGACAAGTAGGAAATTAACAGAAAATAACCAGGAATAGCTTTGAGTGATCCATCAAGCATATGGCTTCTCCCTGTGGTATTTTCTCTTCTCTCAGAGATACACGGATACCCAGGAAACAGAAGGGGAAACACACTTGTGAATTCCAAGAGAGACCTCCAAGACACACCCTTAGTGTAAGTGACAGCTGCCACTGGCACATGGAGTGATCTAGAAAACACTGGGGAAGAGAGGGAATGACCTGTTCCCAAACATGGGAGGGAGCTTAGGCTGAACTCTGCAGGCTCCTCAGTATTTTTTCCTGGGAAGGAACTCTTTTCCAAGAACTCCTGTCCATTAGGCCATCACCCATCAGCCCCTTCTACCCTTACAGTCAGAAACACAAGTTTACAGGGTTTTTTTAAATATCACATTGGATTTTAGATGTATGCAAATAAAAAAAAAATCATTGTTTGCATTCCTTGTTTTAAAATACAGGGTTTTTTTTGAAATATCACATCGGATTTTAGATGTATGCAAATAAAAAAAATTCATTGTTTGCATTCTTTGTTTTAAAAAATAATGTAGGTCTTAAGTCATCATTTAATTAACTAATTAAAAAGGTACTGGAATCAAAACCAGTGTTTGACAAGTAAAGAAAGGATCTTGCAATTTGAGATTCTCTCTAAAGGAACAGAAGGAATCACAGAGAATTCTTTTTTTCAAATTTTTTTCAGTTTCACAGCATATCTGTTTCCAAGCTCAAAGTAATTTACATTCTCGTTACATGCCAAAAGCATAAACCAAAATATCTTGAAAATCTCTGACATTAACACCTCTCACATGCTATATTAAAGTCTGAAGACAGTGGGCTAGAACCTTGGTGGAATTGGCTCAATTTCCCTTCAGCTCAGAATGAAAAAGCTTCGTGTGTGAGTTTGGGCAAAAACGTCTCAAAATTATGCTGATTTTTTCATAAAGTGTTAAAAACAAGAGTATCCCATCTAAAGAGAAGCTTTAATTTTTCAAGGTAATTTTCAAAAATTCATCCTTGAAAAAGGGCAGCATGAAAGAAGTATCAGATTTTTCAAAAGATGTTCTGTTAAATAAGAAGAAAATGAAATATGACTGCAGCTGCAAGTATTTGTGCTTTCTGCTCTACTCCCTGTTCTCTTCAGATGTGTTCAGAGACTGTGCCCTTCCTGGTGTCTTCAAAAAAAGAAGCTCCTGTGTTCTGAATTATATTAACCAAGAGTCTTGCATTCTGAATATATTAAAAAATAAGACTTTTGTCTTGTTCCTTTGATTCAGTTGTATTGTTTTTCATAGCCAATATGTAAAAATTGTATGAACATTAATCTCAATATTAATGTTCAATGTATTCAATATTAAAACTTTGCCAGTTTCAACAGCCTACATTTGGTCAGCTCACCCTCCAAGGAAGGGAACTAATTGATCAGATTTGTAATATGGGAACTGTTTCATTTTAAATTTGAGTATCTAATATGGAGCATAATAAATGCAGGTACAATTTAAATAATATCAGTGGAGAGATATCTGGAATGAATCAGATCCTGTGTATTTGTTCTTCCTCTCCTCAGTACATTAGACATGAAATTGAGAAGTTGAGCTTATGCTTAATTGCTACTGCCTGAAGAAAAAAGAATATTCAGGTCTCCACAGAGAAATACTGAACAGAGTCAGTTCTATCAGAGTGCCAATGGGGACTCCCATTATTGTGTCACACTTGCATTTTCACTGTTTCTAAATACAACTTATTTGTTTCCCACCGGAATTACAATTGTTCAGCTCAGATTTGGTTCTGACCATATTTCACAAACCCTGTTCTTCCTTAAATGTTGTTTTCAAAATAGATATTTCAAGATATGATCAAAGTGACTCTTGTCCTTGTTACAATGTCATGACTCTAAACCACAAATATACATGATATATTGTATTTGTTACTAACTGAAAAGCTGTTAAGAGGGCTGCATGTTAATTCTATCCTTTCAACATGCTGCCCTGATTTAAGCAAAAAAATCTGAGCTGTATGGATTAAAACAATTGCTGCTTAGCCAAATGAATGGGGGGAAACCCCACAAACTTCTAGGACTTTTTTTAAGCAAAAATTTCATCGTCACAGAGCAAGTGTGAGATTGTACTGTACTCACACATATGTAGTAAGCAGGGAGTGTTTTATCTCTGAAATTCATAACTATTTATATCTAATTCCAAAACTTCAGAGAAACAGTGAAGGAGAACTTGGTATCTAAGAACACAGTTAATGCTTGTTTAATTTGTTTTCTTACCCCAAGTCAACTAATTTCTCTCATCAGTGTGGTTTACTCTCCTGTTATACAACATGGTTTTTTCAAAAGTTTTGATATTCCAAAGACAATATTGTGCAGGGAAACAGACAGTCATTTTCTTAATAAAATGGAAATTTAATTACAATTAGCAGAAAAACAATCATTTGCTCAGTTTGTTATAAGAGGAGTAACAAACACACTCACAGCATCTGGAGGGAATGCTGAAACCAGTCTCCCACTAGGAGAGGGAAGAGGACCAAGTGTTGCAGCCTGTTGCTCTCCATGTGCTACAGAAGATGGTAAGAGGCTGAAAGGATGTTGCAGATTCTGTGGAAGACTAGGTATGTTTTTCTGCCTAATAAAAGCTATCTCCCAAAAATTTTCAAACCTAGAATAAAAATGTAAAAAGTTTCAACATATTGTATACTTATATTATTAATAAGATTATACTTCTGCAAAAATTACATGTTTCCAAACACCATGTGTGGGATTTATTTAATTATTTTTCTAAAAGGATGTTCTGTTACCCATCATTACAAAGACAAATACTGTAATTTTTTTAAACATTAAAGTATTGTAATTTTGCAGGTCTAAAAGATGCACTTGAATCTTTTCTACAAAATAATATTACAACAGAGTATTTAAAAAAAATTAGTATCCCTCATTTCCTCTAAGCACACAAAAACACATTTCACATTAATCTGCTCATAAATATCATCTATTAAACCATTGTGGATGGTTGGCTGTTTGACAGTAACAGATACCTCATCTTTGTTCTGTTGATTATACTTTTTGCCTCTTCATAGGAGACTCCAATCATGGACTCTTTGTTGATGGACACAAGCTGATCCCCGGGTTTCAATCGTCCATCCTAAAATAAATATAAAACCCACAAACTTTAAATTAATTGCTAACAATACAGAAAGAACTGTATCTTTGTTGATGGACACAAGCTGATCCCCGGGTTTCAATCGTCCATCCTAAAATAACAAATATAAAACCCACAAACTTTATATTAATTGCTAACAATACAGAAAGTCACAGCACTTGGACAAATTCCCCTGGTTCTATTAGGACAAAAATACCAGGAACAGCTCTGCATTCTACCTGTGCTTGACAACTCTCCAGAAATAAACAGATTAAATAATCATCCCTTACCATTAAAGCAGTCATAAAAAATCATCACAGAAAACAGACCTCAGAAATTGTATAAAGAACAACTTTGGACCCAGCTAAACATTTCCGTTTAAAAAAAAAACAAAACCAAACCAAGGAAAGAAACAACAGATTTTTCCAGCACTGACCCATCTGACTTTAGGAAGCTTCTTTACTAACTAATTCAGCTCTGAGCTGGATTAATTTGTATTTCAAAAGCAAACGTTCATGGCAATACATGGAACTCTTCAGACACTCACTGGCCATGTCAATGAGAAAACCAGATTGGTCTATTAGTACTCACCAGGCAAAACCATGACAGAAATAATATTGTCAGCTCTGTGCTTCTGTTGAATTAATTGCAAACTCTCTACCAGCACAAGAACATTTCACATTTCTGTCCCAGAGACTCTAAAACAAGACTTCAAACATGCTAGGCTAGATTTCTCACTAAGATAAGCTAAGACAGAGCTTTTATTGCTCACATTTTAACAGAGCCCTCAACAATTCAACTGGAGATTCATGTAATTCACCTATGGTTACAGAGTTATGACATTTGTCTAATGAAATACACATCATGTAACACAGAATATGTCTCTGCTCTTCAGCTCCTAAGAAATCAAACACAAAATCACTCTATGTGAAAAAAAAAATTGTGTGCAGAAGATAATACATAGGAAATAAGCAAAATACCTTCTCAAAACCAGTATAATTTTACCTGCTTAACACCCACATAGCATAATTTTAGCTGTGTCATTTCAAACCTGTGCCAGTACTTTACTACCCTTTTTTTTTTTTTTTGTCACTTAGTGTTTTGGTTTTGGTTAAAGAATAAAGCTGTAGATCTTTTATTTTGCTTTCATCCAGCACCTTCTAAGATATCCAACAGTGCCCTCACATGGCAGATGATTAAAATATGCTTCCTGTTTCACCTTCCCAAACAGGAGAACCAGAACTGGGAAATTACCTCTACTATTGCTAATATTAGAGCCTAATGGAAATTGATGTCTTAGCCTCGGTCTATTGATTATGTGTGATAGGCTTTAAATTACATATGCACAGTGAGAAAAATATTTTAGAAGCCACAACAAAATAGGAGAAAATAAAAGAGGAATGATTACCATTCATCTATTGAAAGAGGTCTTTGAGAAACATGGCATTTTTATCTTCCAGCTTGCATTTTAGAATTAAACTTAGTCTACAAAAATTCAGTAACAAACAGTTATGAACTGCCTGGGGACAAAACTCACTGCTCATGAATTGAGCTTGTCCCCTCTTGCTGGGCCAGAGGCAAAGAGTGCTTATCTACGCTTCCAAATAACCATAATTACTCAGGATTCCACCTCAGGATTCCAGAGGAGACACTTGGATAAACAGTTCTGTGTACCTGAACCAGGCAACTACATTATTTATTTACTTTTCACACTGACAAATCCCCCTGATTTACATATTGCATGCGTCACACATTAAAACAGTAATCAACATCAATTCATACATTTTATTAGTCTGCACTTCCTGAATATTTTTTTTCTAATTTGCCTACACAATGATTTCCAACTGCAAGGATCCATCTAAATTAAGTCTCAGGGAAATAAGTCACACATTAAAACAGTAATCAACACCAATTCATACATTTTATTAGTCTGCACTTTCTGATTTTTTTTTTTACTAATTTGCCTACACAATGATTTCCAGCTACAAGGATCCACCTAAATTAAGTCTCAGGGAAATAAAATTTTTTGAATGTCCAAGAAACAAAAAGAGGTGCAATCTGTAGCTCTGTCCCATCATTCCTGATTTACCTTGCACCATGCAATCTCTTATAGAAGTTGGTTTTGTACCTTCTCATACATAAACTGAGGAATAAGATCCTCATTTACCTCAAATGAACTTAGGAATAAATTTTCATTACCATGTAATTCTGTGCAGTGCAGTGAGGTAATTCTGTTAAAAGAGAAGGCAAGGAGCAACACAAACACATTTTGTATTTAAAATATGACTGCAGATGTAGCATACCAAAGCAATTCAGGCAAAAATGTCTGAAGAGGAAGGAAGGGAAAAAAGGCCTTTACCTTATGGCAATCACCACCAGGGATAATTTCTTGAATATAAACCAAAGGCCCTTCATTTCTGTTAATTCCTCCCACAATATTCAAACCTAGGCTTGTTCCTTTGCAAACAGAGATAATCTGAAATGCACTGTCACTAGAGGCACAAAGAGAAAGAAAAAACAGAATTACTTCACAGAACTAGATAATAAAGACTGAAGCAGTAACTTACATTATCTTACAGCTTTTGCAAGTATGTATTACAGTAACAAATAGAAATATAGGAAATTTAATCTCAGTGTTCAAATATTACACTATTTACAACAAAATCAGCAACCTCAGGCACTTCTGACAATTACAAAAAGAATTTATACTCTATTTTACAAGGCTAAAAACTCCTCTTTGCTATATAGAGATATATACTATATCCCAAGGCTTATGGGAGTATCTGGGTACACATAAACCAGGAACATTAATTCATTAGATGGCAGAAAAAAAATTAACCTGATTAATCTTCTGCCACATAAACAATAAATAAATAGAAAAAAACCCCAACTTATTAGTCTGCAATGTCGCATAAACAATAAATAAATAGAAAAAAAAAACTTATTAGTCTGCAATGTCAATGGTATTAGGAGCTACAGGACTAGAAGTTAAAACATATAACCAAACTTTAACACTTAGGGCTCAACCCAAATTTTCCTGACCCGCCAAACAACAGCATTTCCTGCGGCTCCCACAAGAGAGGCACAGTCACTTTGGAGATTACTTTGGAAGCTTTGGGGATGGTGGTGGGACAGAATTTCTGCTGCTGCTGGTGATGTTATCCTTCAGAGGCAACTGAGGACTCTGTGACCTTGAGGATGACCCAGAAGAAAGGCTGTCTCTAGATTTTGCTTAAAAAACAGAAATAATAATATAAGTAAGTAAATAAAAAACACATTTGGGAAAAAGCACAAAATTGCAGCTCATGTAAGGAAGTTCAGTTCAGTAAATAGAAGACTATTGTAATATTAGAAAACAGACAAACTAAGCAATCAGACAACCAAAAAAAAATGCCTGCACAGTTAAGAACTGAGAGCCACCCAGTGTTTCAGGAATAATTTTTAAAAATGTAACAAGTGATGATTTTTTTTCAGATTGGGTGCAAAGTACAAAACAGACCAATCCCTCATGCTATATAAAGGCATCTTAATTAGGCAGTGGCTTCAGAAAGATTAGAATGTCTAGAATTTCAAATTTTTATTAGCATTTTGTGGCATAGTTCAGCTACAAATACAAAAAACTTTTCACATAAATAATTAATTAAAATTGAAAGTTGATACCAGTATATTTATTTAAAGAGCTGGGGAAACTAACACATAAATTCCTCAAGGTACATGTGTGTTTTGTCTGACTTTCAGCCACTTCCTCCAATACACCTCCCCTAAAATAAGGAATTTTAAGCACAAGTTTCTACTCCATCCAAGGCTGATTTTTGTCCCCCAGGATTGTTTCAGGCTGGGAAGTGATCTCTCACCAGCAAAGTGATGTGTTGGAGAAGTTCTTGGAGACGTTGTGTCACTGTGAGAGCCATACTTATCCATTAGGTCATGAAATTCCTTCCTGTGCCAATAAAAAGATTTTCTTTGTCAGTTTGAATGGACCCTATGAAACCTGCACTGCTTGTACTAAACAGCTGGTCCTCCTCAGAGAAGGAAGCTCAACCTCCACTGACAGAGGAAAGCTCTGTCTAATGGTCAGAAAAGGCAAAAAAAAAAATAAATCATGTAATGCATGATAAAGATGGGAAAACAACAGACTATGGACAAAATGGACTGTTGGTATAAAAGCTTTATTTTTACCTCTCTTTACCCTGAATTACAAAAATTAAAAAACTTATCATATAATCAACTACAGATAATAAGAAAGTGGTACTACCAAGCTCCAGAACAATTAGAGGGAATCAGATTATACACCTATAGCATAATCATGTTTTTAAAGAATGCTTTTAGTTCAAATACACTGAACAAGAACCCAGAACAGACTGACAAAGATATGGCTCCTTAAAAACAAGAGGACAGAGAAATATTTGTTAACCACTAAAAGCCAAAAGCAGAAATTGCATGCAGACACCAATCATATTGCACCAGACGGGCAAAGACGTACATCTTGTGTGACAGGCACTGAAGAGAATACAAAAACAGCTGATTCATCTGATATTGGATCCAGCCTAATTTAAGAAAAAAAGTGTATAATCTGAGCTCTGATTACCTCAGTGATAACTGATTTAAAAGATATAGAGTGATGTAAGTCAGGAACATCACTAAATTAATATTACAGAATTAGTCAGAGAGAAAAGAAATTAACTGACTGCAAGGAAAGTAATTCCCAGGTAATTCCAGTTTGACTTCTGAAGGTTGTTCAAAAATGCTGGGTGCATTATTTCTTAAAAAAGAACAACATTTATTGTATTAATGCTGGCCCCAGGGTACAAACATAAACACAGATGAATGTAAATCAAATAATCCTTAAGCATAAAATGTACAGTTAAAAGGTGGCTGGTGAGGGACTGCATGGAGTGGCAAATTCTGCCCAGGCTACTGCACTTCCCCCCCAGAGTGGTTAAAGGACTGATGGATTTTAATTATTCAAGGAGTTTACAGGAACTAGGCCAGTATGCTTTAGATAAAAGCAGATTAAGAGTGGACCTCACATATATCTAGGCAGTCTGAAAAAAGGAGAGATCAGAGGCTACAGAGTGATTTAGATGTCTGTCAAATACAAAAAAATCAAGGAACAGAAAGAGAAAGCTTAACTTGGACAAAAAGCTAAAGGAATTTAGAGAAAAATCCTTTATGGGGAGATTACTCTGGAAGTGGAACATCTCAGGAAAGGCAAATAACAGCAGATACTCTTGCAGTGATTATAAAAAATAGTTACATAACAGCTGTTTTCTCCTGAGATTTAAGTCAAAAGGGGATACAGATCTGGTTTGTCACATTGCTCATGATTCTCTGCCAATATTGGTTTATATGCTTAACTTTCATCAGTCAGGTTAAAGCAATATGTAACATAAATGTCCTTAAAATGAATATACTTTAGACTGCCTGCTGCAGTGAATAGTTTAACCTACTCATCCAAACTATTCAAAGCACATTAGAAATTGAAAAGCAAAATTCTGAGGGGAAAAGAACAACTGAATCTGCCTTTTATCAGAAGGCAAGGCAAGTTTAAATCTTACACTTTTGTGGTAGCTCTAACGGAGTCCTCATTTTTCATTATTTTAAAATGTGCGAAGTATTAAAAAAATTATCACAGCAGATAATTTTTAATGGTATTAGCTGTAAACACAACATTACAATCCTTCTCTTTAAACTGAAGTTGGCCTGAGCTTGCTACTTGAAGTGATTGATGTAAGTGATCTCAGAATGAACTGGCACCAAATACCACACAGGAAAATGTGAGATGTGGTGCGATTCTGCAATTAAAACTAATCTGAAATAAAAATACATGCAAGCCCACCCACCCGCCCTGAGATACAGCAGTGGACTTTTATTAGTTTTGAGGTTAAAAAAATTTTTCACTTACTTTGCTTCTTCATCTCTAGCAACGAGCAGAGACATGTGATTAGAGGCTGATGCTGTTCTCAAGATGTCAACAGCTCTAGAAAGGGGCAGAAAAAGGCCAAATAAATATACCAGGGTGCTGGCAAGAAGTGAGCAGTGCTAGAAGAGCAGGAAAATGGACAAAATGCTAAGGTAGTTAATAATTTTCATGGCCAGGTACAAAGAAAAGAGCTTGGCAGCAGCAAAACTTAAGTGAGCGCCAGGGAATGGAGCAAAAGACAGGCTGTGGTGCATCTGCTGACAGCAATAAACTGGGACTGACCTCTCTTTCCCTTCCCTTCTGTCCCCATCCCTCCTTGGGCCACCCTGCTGCCTTCCTGAGCCTCCTTCAGGATTAATAGCCCATCCCAATAAAAGCTACTGCTCAGGTGTGCCTGGCTCAGAATCTCCCTCAGCAATACAAATGGCAATTTTCCTTTGCATTTTCAATCTCCATCTCCAGCACTGAAAGTTGCACTGGTCTCTATAGATCCAGCTACAGTACTGAACCAGCAGATATTTGTATTAACAGCTTCTACTGCTGTTTTCATACACATTCTGTAATCTGTGTCATTAAGAAACCAGCTGATTCTGCTGTTACAGAAGCATATAAAGTCCTTCACTTTTCTACAACAGTTTTGCTGAATTAGACTTACAGGACAAATTACTTGCGAGTTGAACTCCAAAGATCTCACGGGAGCTGTGCTCTTTCATTCACTGACAGTGTCCAAAATAATCCATGTATAACATTCCAAGCTCTAATAAACATTCAGGAATCAGTACAAACATACCTTTCATTTGTTACTCCAACCAGGTTTTCTCCATTGACATCCAGAATTAGGTCCCCAGTGAGCAAACGGCCTTTAAATGAAACCAACGGTGATTGATGAATCAACAAGAAAATGGTGAACATATTGTACAAAACCAGGTATTAACCCAGGACTTTTCCTTTCAGTTTTATGTGACTTAATGCATTAAACAACTTTATGACTCCTGGCACCTGATCTTAAGTAAGACAGATAATTGAGATACGACTAGAACCTACAATCAGTCTTACTAACAACAGAATAGCCAGTAAAAATAACTGTCATTTAGCTATTTGTGTTATTTACACACAGCATAAGTATTTTTGAGACTAGAATTTACATTTTGCAGTTATGGAACTAATTTTATTTGACTCCTGCTCTTAACATTACTGTAAGTTAGCATGTGTAGATATATTAATGTTTTAGACATCAATAAAGTCAGCTAAAAGATTTTTTAGAACCAATTCTACCTTTTAACATCCTGAAAATCTCAAGTTTAGGAAGTTGAATCAGATTATTTTAAATTATTATTTTGCACAAGACAAGTTGGAATCTCAAAAAAGCCCATACAGAGATCTAGGACAGAAGTCTGTAGCTTAATTATTGCAAATTCTACTGAGAGTAATTTCTTGTCTCCACACAGATCTTAACCACCAGCATACCACCATTAAAAAAAAAGTAATAAAAATTATCAGAACGAATTAAAAGTACTATGTTTATACAGGAAACCCTACTCTTATACCTTATAAATTAAAAGTGACTCAGCATCTCAACACTCACTTAACAGTACTGCAAATTGCCAGAAAGACTGCTAATTGCCTTCACCAGCCATATCTAGATTTCAACACATTTTCAAGACCTGAGTGTATTAAAATCATTGTCCATAAAGGGTCTAAGTTTCATTTATCTATCTTAAAGTAAGCTAAAACCTCATAGAACCTGACTAAACCATACTATTTTAAATATCCTTACCCACAAAGTAAAATAAAGACTTATTTTGACAGCTTTTTATACGCAGTGTGTTTGTAGGCAAAAAAGTTAAAATTACTTACTATCTACAGCAGCCACCCCCCCAGGCAGAATTCTCTTTATGAAAATCCCATAATCTTCTGCTGTTTGTGCCCGATAACCTCCAATAATTTTAACTCCTGAACAACAAAAAGACAAAAGTGAAAAATTGGTTATTCCAATTGGTTAGAATTGGTTATTCTATTGTGCTAAACGTATTTGCAGTCAAATCCATGAAAGCCAAATAAACTTTCCTGATGCCAGGTATGAGCTGGCAAAGGTGTTTTTAGGTTTGATTTACTCAGAATAACAGAATGTGCAATCTGAGTTACCTAATCCATTCTGGCAATCAGAGAAAGAGAGGCGGTGAACAGCTCGATTAATTCCATGAGGGCCCATAATGGTCCTAAGGAACAAAATATAAATAATCAAGTTACAGAAATGAGACAGAGCTATATTAACAGAAAATAAATTACAGTGACTGTATTTTTAACTCAAATACAAACCCAAACCTCCTTTCTCCACTGACAACTTCATATTGTTTGATATCTCTGAGCCATCATCTCCCCAGCCAAAAATCAATCTGTTCATCACAAATATCAGATGCAAAGGTACAATAAATATACAGAATTTACTTCCTTTTCCCACAAAGCACTTCAGGCTCAACTGTGAATCCCACTTTGTGTAATAAAAGGATTGTGATTAAATATAAACAAAATTCCACAAGCTGGTCCACCTTAACATTTAGGCAAGAAAAACATACTGTAAAATCAGTTTTCATTAGGTTATGAATATTTGAACAAAAGCACACCTAAGCCAGTGCATAAAATTATTTCCTAAGATATCTAAAATATAATTTTTTGTATTTATGGACATAATCTTTTCCCAAATCTCCCAATTTCTTCACCCAACATGGATTTCTTTCTCTATTGTAAAAAAGGCTTCTTTCCAAATTCTTTTGCTTGATCCTGTGTGTACCTTCCCACCCCAAGGGAAAATACCAGGATGGCACTTGGAATTGTCTAAAGGCAGAGAAATATTTTGAAGGCAGTTGATCATGAAACAGAATTTAAAAAGAATACAAAGTAAAATTAGAGCTTTGAAACCAAATTCACAGTTTCATCAGACTCATGATCAGCACACTGCTCTGAGAACGCAGAGTATTAAGAATGGAAATAAATCCAGATTACCCTTTACCAGGTTTTATTTTCATGTAGATGAATTATGGATAAAAAAAAATGTTAGTTGTATTATATGTCCTCTGTCCTTTCACTGCAACTTTTTTGGAGAAGACAGCAGATCTCTTCTAGAAAAGAGCAAAAGAACCACAGAGGTTTTTGTGCTTTGACCTACATATTGTGCTACATTAGATAGAGAGTTGTGTTTTCTAGAGGGTCCTAGTGAAATGGAACAACAAGAATTCATTAGCAGGGTGGGAAAGAAGATCAAAGTGGAGGACACAGTGACCCAAATCCTTCCACACAACCTAATCCAGCACACAGCCTGAACTCTATGCCTGAAACTGGGTACATCTGCAAAAGCCAGAGTACATCATTAAAAGGTGCTGTGCCAGAAGGAAGAGATAAATCCAAAAGGTTCAAATGTTCTAAAAATTCTAGCACTAGCCAGGAGATCCAGCTTCTAAAGAATATCTGCAGTTCTTTTGGTTTTGTAGAAGAAAACTGGATGAGATTTTTTAATTGAAGGATAAGCACTAACTCTGAAAAGCAACGATTTCCCAAAACCTCCTATATCCAAGTATTTGCAAAATTAGCCCTTGCTTTAGAAAGGCCGGCCACAAGAAGAGACCTAATAATTCTAATAACCTTTAGAAACAAAAAGTAAACCTATGCTTCAAGCACTATATAATTTTCACTGTAGTATTTCTTATTTTAGCATGTTTCACAGGCTAAAAAGAAAAAACCCAGTGTATTTGGTGTGTGTTTGACAGGACTGCACAGGACTGCACCATGATATGTCAGAGCATAAGGTACCCTTTGTAGAGCTAAAAGTGAACCAAAATGTTTTTACTTAATCACAGCCTGAAAGGAAGAACAAATCCCCAAGCTCAATATTTCTTTAAGAATATTCTTTGGACAACCTCCTACTCCTTCACAAGAACAAAGTATCTTGCATTACTACCCAGTACTGTCACTGGAATTATCCCACAAATTTGTTCTGAGGCTGAAGGACAGCATCCTAGTCATGCTTTGTCCTGACGTGTCTCAGTCTCTGAAATCTCAAACAAGGTACACTGATCTTTAAAATAGGCAACTACTCAATTTTTTTCTCTCTTGCCTTTTGAACTACTGCTGTTGGGTTTGCTCTGCCATTCCCTCTCAGCAGTTTTCACACGGCAGTTTTTTTGTTAAAATTAAAAAGCAAGAACAAAAGTTACTTCAACCTTGCACAAACCAACACAGAGGTTCTACTTTCGCAAAATCTGAAAAGATCAAATCTCAGACTTTAAGTCTGAAGTCTAGAGTTTGCCAGAAATTGTAGAACTTCTTTAAATACTACCATATAAAATAATGAAATATGATCAAATCTAAGAACAGGACCATTAATAGGAAAGTATCTACATTTTCAGAAGTAACTGGCAATACTTTCAAAAGAGAGATTCTAACGAAACTATAAAGGATTCTGACAAAGAGGACACAGAGAACACAAAACTGATTATTATTTTTAGTCAGTGGAGAGGAGTAAGATATCTCTGAAACACTGGAATTGTGATGCTGCCACCTACAATTAGAAAGAACTGACACTTTGGACAGACAACTTTTACAAGGTACTCAGGTCTGTTTATGCTCTAAAGACTAAATCCCTCCAATACATGCAGTTTAAAATTTACTCTAGCACATAAAAGTGAAGACAAAGATTTTCAAACGCCCCAAATTTGTTAAACAGATCACATCTAGTTGACTTGCAGTGTTAGGGGATTTATTTCCCATATAACACAGATCTTCAAGTCAAGCTACTTGTCATAGTCATAAAATAAACAGAGCTTTAACAATTTCACTGTAAAATGACTTGGATTCAGTAGCCATCCAACATTTATTTTATGTCATCAATTTCAGTATTTGTGAAATGTTAGAATATTTCTCCCAGAGCTTTAGAACCATGCTTAACAGTATAAATAAGGAAACAGGCTTCTAAACCAGTTGGCAGTAGTAACAAAAAATAATTTGATGGTTTTTGTAGAAAAAGATGAAAGTTAAATAATCTGATGTTGCTACTCATTTTTTGAGGTCAGGCAAAAGTACCTGTAAGGAAGGTTTTAGCACATAGAGAAGATGTGAGACAAGAGATGAAATAAACAAGTAAAACTCACCAAAATGTGCACTATAACCATCTTATACTGAAATATACTAAACTCAACACTCCAGCTGAAGTCCTGGAATGAAACAGACTAAGTGTGCAACATTTTGTGTAGATGTTACAGTAAGGACAATTAACATGAACCTGCTTCTATTACTTTTTAGCAGCATACACAAAGAAGTTCAACAACTTTGGGGTTTATTTCTTTTAGTACTTATCAGAACATACAGCTCCAGATATTCTTCTGCTCTCTATTCCTGAGAAGTTAATAATCATTTATGTGCATAAACAAAACATTTACCTATGTTTATCAACGGAAGAATAATACTTTACTCACAAAACACGTATCACTTGACACACAAAAATCTAAATTATAAACTCTGGCTGTTGATGAAAAGAAGCTGAAAATTATCAGCTTTTAAATTATCTTTCCTGTACTTTGCCCAATTACAGACTAGAGCAATGCCCTCAGAACTGAATGGTTCAGCATACCAGTATAAAAGAGAGAGACCATCAAAACGCTCTGGTTCATCTTCAGCCCCTGGAGAAAGCAAGGACATCCTTCAGCACAGCAGGAAAAACAAGGACAACGCAACCAAAACACACTGGAGGTTTCCAGTTCAGCCAGATAAAGGTTGTGAGCAGGATGATTTCTGCTAACAACTAAAAAACCCAAACACAGAGCTCCAGCTGAGCGTTCTGCCTACTTAATCTTCTCTGAAAGCCTCTGCGTCACATGCACTAATTCACCTAGAGAGGTAATGCTTACTTTTTCTCTCTTTGAAACGGCCGTTTAGAGCAACTTTAAAGACTGATAAATGCAAAGGAGAAAATTTACTCCACTGTGATTAAGCAATCTAGACACAGCAGCCAAAGGCAAATGCAATGATTAAAAGCAACTTATTTCCTCCTGTTCTTCTAATAATTTATTTACATGCTCCCTGCAAACAAGGTCAAAAGCAGTAACTCATGACCTTTCTAAAGCAATCTTCCTAACACACTGCATTATGCACAGCCACACAAAAGGGAAAGCCAACAAAGCAGACTGGGAGTATTAATGAAACAAATGCCATTATGCTATTACTTTTCATTCTCAATCATGGTACTGGCTAGATCATTGTACCATGATCTAACTTGATTTTTAGACTTTCAAGATACAGCAGTCATAAGTCAACACAGAGCTTGTGTTATTTATTTTCTCTAGAAATGCAAGCTGACATGTACTTTTCTGGGAAAGGAAACAAAACTGTCAAATTCATGTCATTACCCTGGGAATAATGTAGTTTAAGAAGTCAAATGTATCACCCTTTTCCCAGAGGTCAGATCCTGTGATAGGAGACTTGGTCTTGCAGAGAGATACACATTTTCAGAAATTCTGAGCATTGACACCAGTTTGGTTAATGAATGTTTCCTTCCAGGCTTGCCTCAGAAGTACCCCTACTACTCCCCCTCTCTCAAAAGATCATAAGAAGACTTCAGCTTGAAATGAAAGCCTACTACACTGTGTTCACTGAGGGCTTTAAGTAGAAAGGTGAATCCTCTCTAGCCAGGAGCAACCCTGTGATCAGACAGCATCTGTCAGGTCTGGAGGTGCAGCAGGACGGCTCGGCTATGCCAGGAATGCAAAAGCTTATCTCAGGCATTTTTTTTTTTTTTAAAGCTGCAGTGACTGTGGTTTCATTAGCAGATAATCCTTCTGGGGAAAGGATCCCTTTGCTGAGAGACAATATGCTGAACAGCCTGCAACGCACACAAGGAAGCCTGAAAGCCTGCAACGCACACAAGGAAGGGCAGAGTGACCCCCCACAGATTAAGGAGCAGATCAGAGATGGAAATGGGAACATAAAGCAGCCTCCCTAGTTCCCAAATGGTGAAAAGGCCCAGTGGCACAGTGACCACATCCATTCAGAGATTAAAATTTGCCCCTTTGCAGCGTTTCCTCAGTCAGCTCATTCTGCTGCTGTTACCGGTATTACAGAAAAACCATTGATATTTTAAGCCCCATATCAATTAGATTTGCTCTAGGCAAGGTTACAGAAGATAAAGTACCAATAGATTTTCTCCAATAAAACAACCTCTGTACTTAACATCGGTGGAGTTCAATTTGTGGTATCAAAATCAGGAGCATTTGTCAAAATACATCACTCAGACTAAATCCACCAATTAACAACCTGCTCAAGGCTCTCCAATTTCTTTGTTAAAAAGCAAAAAGTTATTTTGATTAAACCAGACATGGCAAACTTCTACACAATTTAAGCAGATATAAAGTAGTATTAGCCTTACTGCTCTCATCTCATTAGAGTTATTACCAGTAATACATGACTTGTTCAGAAGATTGCTCCTCCACTCCTTCTTCCGAGTAAATTGTGCTTTGTTCAGCTTCCTGAACTCATCCCCAAGGCTTCTATCCCTCTTTACCTTCAAATTCTGTTGCTGTGCTGCTTTTAATGAGTGACAGCATTATTGCTTCTCTTGCAAGTGCTCTGCCTTTCAAGAATGCGCTCAGAGGAACACAAATTACTTTTTACTTCCAGAAAGATCTAGGAAAATTGTAAGTCAAAACTCCATGAAATTTAGTATAAATAAGTAAGACTCAATTTTCAAGAGTTGTCATTTGTTGTTAAGTAAGATTCATTTTCAAGCAGCCGGGAAATTATTCCATTCTGGCAACATTTGGAATTACAACTTGTTTTTCCCAATGGAAGTTTTGCCATGCTTTAGCAACTGAGATGGATTACATTATAATTTAGCAGATGACAAAAAGATCTGCAGAATCTTTGGAAGTTCGATTCACAAGATCTTTTTTGTTATGAATAAACCAAAGGCCTTCTAAAAAATCCTATACAAATCCACTATGCAACTGTAGCTTTTCAGCTTCACTAACCCCAAGTTCAGATTCTAAGGACTGTAGGCAAAGGAATGCTGTATCATACAGCATGGATGAGCACTCAGTGTGATCCATCCAAACCCACTCATTATTCAAAATACATTCTGCTATAAAGTTTAAAAGAAAACACAGGTCATTATACAGCAACTGTTAAGCCTAAAAAAAGCTTGGGCAACATTGTAATTGTATAGAAACACGAATGGTTTGAGGCTAACCCCCTGCACAGAGAAGAAAGGTATGATTTGAAGTTCAGGTAACTTATAACCTCAGTTAACATATAACCAAGTCCATTCTGGGAAGCATCATCTCCTACAAGAAATAAAAGTACAGAAAATTACAGCCTGCCATCAGCATGCAGCTGAAGTGCAGTTTTAGGTGCCTTTCCTGTTCATCTCTAATGTGAAAAATCGCCTTTGGAATACAGTGAGCTAGGAACTACTCATGTAAACTACTCATCTTTCACATTACTCTAGCAAGCCACAGCTGTCTGAAAGATCACATACCCTGAATTTCCATCAGACAAGCAGAGTTTTGGTTTCTCCAGGTCCCAGTAAAAAGCAAGTCAGTTTTTTTAATGTTTTGTGGTTTTTCTTTTCTAACCAATCAAGTTATTTAAGAGGAGGCATAATTCTAAACCTATGTTAATTTTTTTATTATTCTTCTGAATACTCTTTGCTGGATTCTATTGCACAAGTACAACAAACATGGTAAGTCCAGCAAGAGCTGCCTGCGCCTGGTTTTAATTCTGGTTTTGATGACAGCATTGGCATGGTTATTTGGCAGTTTGGAAAGGGTCTGGAGTTACACTTTTAAATCATGACTGAATCCATGTTTGACATTTAGAATGTGATCCAACTCTTAAGTGGATAAGACTATGTTTTATAGAATGAACACAATTTTTTTACATCCTGTGACATTGGTAAAAATATGATGGTTCCAAAGTACTACACATAAAATATTAAAGGTATAGAGAGAGTATTCTGAAAAAGTAATGCACTGTAATACAAAACCCCCAGTCTTATGCTACTGCAGGTACCCCAGATGTACAAAGAAGTTATCTACTATATCCAAATACGTTTTCATAGCTCAGAAGCAATAAATTAAGAAATCTCTATGCAGGGTTTTATCTCTACAAAACTAGTCCTAACCAAGTGCAGATTAAATTAATGAAAAGCTTAAGGGATGACTCCTCCCTTAAAGTGTAAATTCACTGGTGTTGGTGTCAACTTTCCTACGGCGTTACTGCAGACTGCTTCAATATCAAATTTATTTTTCTTTAAGTCTTCATCAAGACAAGATCCTACCAATGACATGGCAAAAATTTAAACATTATGATCCATTAACTGTATTTCTGCATCTAGGGAAAAAAAGTACTTACTCCTTCTCTGTATTTGTGAGGGGATCTGTACTGGACATCTTCTTAGAAGCACTACTAAAATAAAAGTTCAAAGTAAGAGTTCTGACACATGAAGAACAGGCTCCTACCCAGGATCAAAATCTTCTAAAATAGGAAAAAAACAGATTACAATTCTAGGATTATGCAACATAACTGCTGAAGGCAAAGACAATTCCTTTTTTTTTTTTTTTCCATTTAAAGTTACTTGGAAAGGGAATGGTGTTTTGTGTGTCTTCTTTTCTCATGGTTTTTTTACTTACTCTCTGGTGTTTAGTGTCTCTGAACATGAAGTACGTGGAACAGGCCAAAACACACAAAATGGGCTTACATACCACTAATGTAGCAAAAGCCTCCAGAAATTCACATTATATTTTTATTAGTACATACAACAGGTTGACAGGAAATACAACCCTGGATGCACTGAACTACAGTCATTTCAGAAACTGCTAAAAAAGCATTAATGTAAAAAATATCCATTTGTATCAGCAGCAGCAAATCATCCTGACCTTGTGCACGGCTGAACCCTCACATGCCACAACCCAGAACAGGAATTATTTCCAAAACAAGAGGGGCAAGGAACTCTCCCAAGACGCAGGCAAAGACCATTCAGGTGCTCCTGGCACCAACGCCACTCCACAGACCCTGGCCAAGATACAGCAGAACCCCCAGGTGCAGTGTGAGCCTCCACAAAACCACTCCAATTCCTGCACGTCTGTACTTCTTGTGTGAAAAAGATGTTAAATCCACGTTGGAATGCCGCAAATGCTCCTGCAGTAAACATCTTCAGGTTTTGCTCACTAAAGAATCAAAAAGTCATCTGAAGACAGGGGAAATAACACAGTATGGCTACACTGAGCCTTTATCATTCTCTTATTCAACATGGAAAATGAAGCACCGGGAGCTGCCAGTCTTTGTGTAATTCACCTTACTGGAACCGCCACAGAAGAGGGACACAGCTCTAAAGCAGTAAATTCAAGTAATGCTACAGCAAATTTTATTACAGTGCATGGCACCAGCCGCGTGAAAAACTATTGTTTGTGAACTTGCCCGACTTTGCCCCTCCTCAGGTTACCGCTGGTTACTAACAGCGCTCGCTGCCTTTGCAGCATGTCAGTGTCTCTGCCTGAACAAAAACAAATCCCTAGAAATGAAACTAACGAGAAACAAAGCACCGGAGGAAAAAAAGGAACAAACAAACCACCGGTGTCAAGTGTGTACAAAAGGGGAGAAACTGCAGGCCCCGGAAGGACCACCCGGAGCAGCCCCGCACCCAGCGCCCGTCCTGGGCCGCCAGCGCGGAACCACCTGAGGGATAACCAGGTATCAGCGGGACCCGGGTCATCCCTGCGGTACCAGGTACCTCCGGTGCGGTGTACCTGCGGGACCACCGCCCGTCCCGGTGACCCCGCTCCTGGCCGGCCTTTCGGTGCCACTCCCGTCCGGCACAGCCCGCTCGGTGCGGGATCGGAGCCGTGGAACCCCGCCGGCCTGTGGGCTACTCCCGTTACCTCGTACACAACCTGCGCCCCAGCCGTCCCGCTGGCGGGCGAGGAGAGGGCAGCCACGGGCGGCTCCGCCGGGACTCCCTCGCTCAGCACGCTACGAGGGGGCGCAGAAGGCGATGATGCGATGGCAGCTCGGCCCACCCCCGCCCTCTACTTTCCCTCCTCCTCTCCCGCCCCCGTCCCGCCCTATTCCCCACCCCGTTCCCCGGCCGCCCGTCCCGAAAGCCCCCGCGCTGCGGCCATGGCGCTGTGCGGGCGGGGCTGGGCGCGCTGTGCCCGCGGGCTGCGGCTCGGGGCCTTGCCCCGGCCCGGGCTCTGCGGGACCCGCGGCGTGCGGGGCTCCAACCCCTTCACCCGGCAGCAGGAGGAGGAGTGGCGCCGCCGGAACCGCTCGGCCGTGGGCTACATCGCGGCGGCGGCCGTGGGCATGGTGGGGCTGTCGTACGCGGCCGTGCCGCTCTACCGCCTCTACTGCCAGGTACGGGGGGCCCGCGGCCGGCGCCGGTTCCGCGGGCGCGGGGCCCTCACTGCCCTTCCCTGACAGGCCACGGGGCTCGGCGGGACGGCGGGCACGGGGCGCGACGTGGAGCGGATCGAGCGCATGGAGCCCGTGCGGGACCGGCTCATCAGGGTCACGTTCAACGCCGACACGCACGCCAGCATCCAGTGGAACTTCAAACCGCAGCAGAGCGAGATCTACGTGAGTCAGCGCCTTCCCCCCGCGCAGAGCCGTGCTCACGCTTGGAAGAGGCCTTTAGGATCACTGTGCAGCCGGCACCGCCGCTGCAGCCACTGAACCACAGCACCACGTCCAGATCCCCTTGAGCAGCTCGAGGGATGGCGACTCCACCTCCCTGGGCAGCCCTTTCCAAAGCCTGACTACACCAACAGTGGAAAATGTTTCTAATATCTAATGGCAATCGCCTCTGTCTCATCCCAAGGCCATTTCCTCGGTGCTCTCAGTGCAGGCAGGGCACAAGGGCCCGATCCCCAGCTTCTGTTGTCAGTAGTTTCAGAGAGCAGTAGTGTTCCACTTGAGCCGCCTGTGCTTTGAGACTGAACAGCCCCAGACGCGTTCTCTAGAACTTTCATCAGCTTTGTTGCCCTTTGCTGCTCCAGCAGCAATGCTCCAGCACGGCAGTGTCCTTTTTACAGGACATTGGGTGTAGCTGGCCCTCTGCCACCCCATTAAACTATCGAAAGTTATTGAAACTATAGTTATGTATATACTTTGTGGTACGTACATCACATGCACATTGTACATACATCATAAAAGTATATACATATACATACTTAAAAATATATAGTATAACAGTATATCGAAATCTGTACTGTTTCTCCTATTGCCCTATCCTTTTGCCCCTATCCATATAGGAACTTTTTCTTAGCATTTAAAAAAATCACAAATTAACTTTTCTGTTTCAGATTAGTTCTCAAAATAAGGAGTTATGCTTCTAAATAGTTTCTGAGTTCAGTACTGAAAGAATAACCTCAGAAATTAAATGCACACCATATCTAAATCAGCATATTAAAAATGCTCTGTGTGCTGTTGAACTGCTGAGGATAGTAGAAGACTCAGGCAAAATGGGTAAGATTAAAAATACATAGAACAGTATTGAAGCTTTTAATTTTGAATTGAGATTAATTGCATGTAATCAAAATATTTGTGAAATAACCAATTTGAAACAGTAATAGAGAAAATGAATTCTAGATAAAGTCTAAAGAACTTGGTTTGAGGGGTGGAGGGCTGCAGTGAGTTAAAAAAAAAAAAAGAAAATCACTGTACAATTATGTTATACAGGTGGTACCAGGAGAGACTGCACTGGCATTTTATAAAGCAAAAAATCCTACTGACAAACCAATAATTGGAATCTCCACCTACAACGTTGTCCCATTTGAAGCAGGACAGTATTTCAATAAAATACAAGTAAGTGTGAACAAAGCAAAGATTGCATTTTCCTTTACACAAAAGAAAACGGTTACCCATAAATTGCATTTTAATCCTGGACAACATTCTTCATATGCCAACATTTTAAGAAAATACCTTTTTTTTCTTCCCGAATTATAAAGTGCATCAATTCATTCTTAGCTTTACTGCCCTCACACCAAGCCGGTCATCCCATCAGAGTGGCTCCAAAATCTGTTATTTATCACCCCTCTGAGGGCAGGCAGAACGATGTGAGCTGGCCTGGCCCCTTGACACCTTTACACACTTCATTAAAAGCTAATGTATTTTTTTCCTGTATCACCACACTAACAAAATTGCTGTCTTGGTGCTCATCTTATTGATCCTTCCCAGGATTTCAGGGGTGTAAAGGGAATGAGAGTTTATTTGAAACCATTCAGATTTCTCTCATGTTGGCAGAGATAAAATTTGTCATCACTATTGTTGTCTAACTGTGGATTTTTTTTCCTCCCGCCTGCAGTGTTTTTGTTTTGAAGAACAGAGGCTAAATCCTCAGGAGGAAGTGGACATGCCTGTCTTTTTCTACATTGACCCAGAGTTTGCAGAGGACCCCAAAATGGCTAAAGTTGATTTGATCACTCTCTCTTACACCTTCTTTGAAGCAAAGGAAGGACAGAAGTTGCCACTTCCTGGGTATCAGTAATGGGCATTCTCTACAAAATCTGACTTCTGCTACATCTGAGTGCCAGTTTTGATGTCATTTTTCCCTGGAAGAAAAAACTACAGGAATACTGTGCAGTATGAAATGATATTATTAAACCTCCATGGGCACATGCTGTTATGAAAGTATATGTACATATATTTTTTTTTTTGGAAACCAACTTAATGTATCCCTATTTCTTAGGGATAGTATTTCTTCATCAGACAGTGGAAGGGAGTACACTGTTCTTGAAGTAGAGAGGGTTTTCTCAGGCCATCTTTTTGTAAGACGTTATCTGAATACCACAAGGCAAATTTTTAAACCAACGTGTAAATTAAGATCTTTAAAACACAGAAGAAAAAATCAGTTGATAAAGCATCTAAAATTCCATTGCTGGCTCCAGAAAATAACTTCAGTGTTAAATTAATTTAGAAAAAGGTAAACCCAGATAATAAATTAAGGTAATCTCATAAGTAAACAGTTAGACTGTTATTTCTGTGTAAGGCTCCCTGGCACAGGAGGAGAAGATGATTCAGAAGGTGATGCACTCTCTCATGTTATTACTGAATCAGTAGTTCATTTGGTAAGAGCAGACTGCTCTAAAGCTGTTATCATGAGAATAGTAATTTAAGCGTAAGCATATCAGATCTGTGGGATGGTTTCCACTTGGAAACACCATCTTATTTCTGTGTTGTGTCCCACTCATTGGAAGTATCTGTGCTGCTGTTGAGTGCACTTTGCCTCTGCAGAGGGCTCTACACCTCCACAAGAGACAAGCTTGGCTTGTGTCCGACATGCTTTGAGCGTAGGGCAGGGTGTAACAACTGCTCTGAATTGCAGCTGAATGAACAGCAGGATGTCTCCTCAAAAACCAGCACCAGCCCTTTCAGAGGCTGAGCTGGCCTGAGCCTGCCCAGCAGTGCAGCAGCTCTCCAGGGGGACTCTTCCCCAGCAGAACATGCAAGTGGTGTTTATGTAACTTTTGGGCATTATCCGTGCAGGAGGTCTAATCACACTTCATCACTGCCTTGCAAACCAGGAGCAAGTTGCAGAGGGAGTTTAACTAACCTGCTCATTTTCAGACAGAAAATATCAGCCAGTATCTCTTCTGCTGGGCCACGTCTTTCTACACCTTCCAGCAGAGAAGATCTAACAAAGTAAGAGTGATGCTGGTTAGCTTGGACTCTGAAAAGGCAATGGTACTTCAGAAATAATTTCTAGTTACTTAAGTGTCAATTATATTTGCATACAGTAAATCAAAAACTGCTTTTTTGAAAATAAATGGATGCTACCTTTAAAATCCATTATTGTACCAATTACTTGTGATGGTTAAACAGATTTTGGATGACATACAGGTCTTTACTGTATATTAAAGATTGAAAACTTTTCATTCTTTCATCTCTCTAATGCATTTTAATCAGAAGAACATGTGGAGCCCACACAAGTGAAATATACCTGTATGAAGATAGCAGCAAGCTTTATAATTCCAGTACGCTTTAGAAATAAAAAAAGTAACATCAAGACAAATCTTTGAATCCAGGCTAGGGGGAAAAAAACCCCACTTCTTACCTCAGTTGTCTTTAGTCCATTGTCCTTCTGAAAGCTAAACTGATTATGGCAGTTCTCCACCCATTGCTTTATTCTGGCCACATTCTTTAGATGAAAAGGAGTATCCCCCTGGCAAGTGCCAGTTCCATAAAAATGTGGGTTCTCTGCCTGAGTTTGAAAGCCCAAATTTGCACAGATGCTGAGCACATTCCCTCTATAATCCAGGCTCTAACCTTGGTAATAAGCCAATTCCCTTCCCTCTCTGTGACCACTGTGCTTCTTTAAACATGGAGAGGTTCCGTCAGCAATCGCCCATTATGGATTACACTGCAACAGCCCAGTTTGATTTGTTACCCTTCACTGTGGGGGTTCTGCCAGTACAACCCAGCTGTAGGGGAAACATTAAATCAGTCCACCTCCAATCCTATTTTCAGGTGTTTTCTCAGGCTGCTGTTCAGACCACTGCAAATCTGCAAGAAAAATGAGAGTAAAGCAACTCACCTTTTCACCTCACCTTACAAAACTCCCACACTCCTTCAAGGTTGTGTTTTGGATAGAAGGAAGTTGTTCTAACTGTCCTGCAGTAAACTGCATCGTTTCACACTAAAATACTTCCAATGCTACCTACATTTATATTTCAGGGAATACACAAATAGAGAAAAACTTGGAAGTAATAAGAGTACTTTCTCAGTAATCATTTGCTTTTATTTGGAATTTTATGCTATAAAAATTGCAAAAGCAGCTGAGAACTTCTTAAACAGTTAACATAAGGAATGTTTAAAATGCAGTTATTTCACAAAAAATTAGCTTATCTGGTATGAACATAAACTAAGTTCTCAAATTTTGTATCAGCTATAAATTCAGAGAACTATACCTGTTAAAGTGCACAGTTTACATTCAGCATTAAAATAGATAAGGCACTTACTAAAAGATAAAACAGTTATTAACAGGATTAAACAACTTAATTAAAATAAATGGGTAACTATTGCTCATCTGCATTGTAGATGATTAATTTTTCCTTCACCAGAAGAATCTCTGCAGGGCAGGAATATTGAAAGAAACAATTGATCCCCCTCCAATATTTACTGAGTAAAGAAAAGCAACAACAGCAACAACAGAACAAGCAGGGTTTTTTCCTGTTCTGTTAATTACTGATGACAGCACTTTGTGTCCCAGCTTAGGTTCTTCCCAATACAAAAAAACAACTATTCTGTGGGTTTTTAGGAAGAAAATAATAAAGGGAAATCTGTATTAAGTATGTAGGCAAGTAACACTGCACATCTTCAGACATCTATTAAGAGGCCATTTTATGGGAAAAAAAAATTAATATCTCAAAACACCCTTATAGATTTTTAGGGAGATGAACACAGCGGTGAGGCCAAAGAGAAACTGGATTCTGCAGCTTCTGTGAATGTAATGTGTCTTTTTTTACAAGTGGCAGGTCAAGTCTTACTTCATTCACAGGTGAATTTGGAAGTCACATTTTACAGGCGCCCAAAATACTTTAAAATAACCATGCAAGTGACCTTGAAGAACACACAGCTGAACATTTAGGACAAATTGTCGTGGTGTGGAGCCAAGTAACTCTTCAACTTGCACACAGCTTAGTACTCCAACACTAATTACTGTGTCAAAATGCAAAACCTCTTCTGTTATTCACTTGTAGTTATAGGAAGCTCTGCACAGGACCAGCACTAGAGAGTGTTCAGGAAAGGATTCCACCTCCACATTCAGTCTGTGTTCTTTTTAACTTCTGTCTTCAGCACAACATCAATTTCTTCATAAATAGCTCTGAAAGAGGAGGAGTAGGGTGACTCCTACAACACATTTCATTTTGACAAATGGCACCAGGGAAATCCTGCCCGAAGTTTACAGTGTAGCCTCCCTTGCAGGATGCCCAGGTTTCCATGGAAACAAAGAGTCAACCCTGCTCTGATTATCTGATAGTACATTTAATGAGGAAACTTGGATACTGTCACTTTTGATCAAACAAGTTTGGGAACAGAACTGCAAAACACAAGTGGCAAGTGCACCACTGTGCAATTACTGCATTAATTAAAAAAAAAACCAAAACAACAAAACAATGGAAGCTTTGTTGAGATTTCTCTACCTCAAAATACAGTGGCTCCTTAGAAATAAGTTTTGTACAGATAGCTCAATTTTTTATTTTTTTATTTTTTTTGCAATTTACTGTTCAAAAGGGGAGTTCTGCAATTTTATTTTAATTTTTTTTTAGGTTTTGTATTAGTTTGCTGTCTCACTATTTTGGCCTTCTGGAGTGACACAGCACCTATTCCCTTTTGTAGTTTACATTTAAATTAAGGATTTTTTCATATGCAGTAGAAGAATACCCTTTAAAAACCACAATTGCTATGAACAGGAGTTCCTTTGGTTATCTTGTTCCAGAACTACCTGTGCTGAAGTTCAATCAGCTTCCTCCAGCAGGACCCTGACTATATTTCCTTCACCTTTCTATATCACTGGATAAGATTTTAGTAATTTTGATAGAGCATTACTCTTCCATTTTTGCAGATGCCAGTTAATGAGCACACTACAGTTTATTCATTAATTGGTTATGCCAGAATTATTTGAAGAAAACATACAAAGTGCAGCCACTGTCATTTTCATCAATGATGCAGCTGGTCAGTTAACTCAGCCTAAGTAGAGTGGTCTGGTTTTCTTCTCAGAAGAAAAAAACCATTTTGCCTTTGGTAACACAGAATTTTAAAATTCTATTTTAAAAGTTACTTACTCAGTGGGAGCCAAGGGATCGAATTCCATTATCTCATAGTAATGAGGTGACTGTGACTTGTTCTTTGATGTAGCTGAAGAATAAAGAGAAAGACATATCCAGATTTCAATGAGAATGAAAAGCATGATTACTACACGTTTTTTGTGTCTTCCTGAAAGTAGCACATTATCTGCTACAGATTCAGCTGCTTTACTAAATGCTAAAATGGAGAGATGTGTAATGGAATCCATGTGCAATATGACTTTGCCAATGCTTGTTGCTGTTCCCAGTCACTGACAGGCATTATGTAAAGGCCTTAAGTTCTAACAAGAAAAGGAAGCATGCAAGAGGTGATTTGCAGTATTTATTACCTGCTGCTGATGGTCCATTTGATGGCACAGTCTGTCCAGCCTGCAGATTTATTGGGTTCAGAGGCACTGGGCTTAAAAGAGTCGCCAGCTGAGGACATCAAGCAAAACAATGCATAAACAGATTGTTTTATGAGAACTGGTTTGACCTAACTTACATTAATTGCTGGCTTATCTTTAAACTCCCTGACTACTGCAGGTAAAATTCCAAGGCCAACAGTTAGCAACCCAATTAATCTTCATTCTCCACACAACCTTCAAAGCAACATTTAGTGTTCTATATATATGGTACATGTGTATAATTTACTTCTGTGTGACTTGTTCCACCACACAGATTCAAACACCTGCTTTTATCTGCAGTTTAAAATAAAGACTGTGCATGTTTGTTTGGTAGCTGCTTCTTTTCTATTTCATACTGCCTTCATAACATTACCTCAAAGTCCCTTCAGGCTCTTTCCATTCCTTCTGTCATGGGTGCTTCTCTGCAGCATGACATTTG